TGCCTGACGTTCAACGGGCGGGCCCTGCTGCCGATGAACTACCGGTCGGCCGGCATCGTTGGGGACTTCCGCTCCGTGGCGTGCGACGTGTGCGACGCTGACGTGGACTGCTTTGCTGGCGCGACGAGGTCGATGTCGGACTCCTGCCGCTGTCGCTGCGCCGAGGACGGGTACGGGCACGACTGTCTGCCGGCGTACCTGCCGCACGTGGACGGGTGCGACCGCATGCCCGCCAAGCCGTTGCTGAGCTACACGGTGACGCTGGCAGGGACGCGCAGCGTGACGCCGACGCCGACACCGCCACCGCCGACGCCGACGCCGAGCCTGAGTGTGACGCGCTACAGTCCGACGCACGACGGGCGGACCGAGACGCGGCAGGTGACCGCGACGAAGACGGCGTCGGTGTCGCTGAGCGTGAGCCTGTCGGTGAGCGACACGTGGTGGTGGAGCGACGCGGCGTGCCCGACGCTCACCGTGACGACGACAGCGGCGGGCGGGGGCCTGACGCAGAACGACATCCGCAGCGGGGGGGGCAACGCCCCGATACGGCTGATGGTGGCGCTCCCGCCGCCGTTCCGCTGGGCGAGCGACCCGCAACTCGGCACGCGGCTGAGCTTCGTGCAGGGCTCGGCCGCGCAGCCGAACGGGCTCAGTGGCCCGTGGGGGGCGCTGCTGCGCAGCGCGACGTGGCTTCGCAACGCGACGCATCCGTTTGCCGTCCTGGAGCTGGCCGTGCCGGTGTACGGCGGCTACTTCATCGGGGCCGATGAGACGATCATCGTGCGCTGCGACGCGGAGGCGGTGTTAGGTGGCTGCAGGGGCGTGCTGCTTGGCTCCTTCACCGTCACGTCCAACACGCCGCCCGGTCTTGCCGGCGCCCTCTCGGTGATCACCGGCGTCGTTGCCGGTGCGACGGCAGTTGCCGTGGGGGTGACCGGCGGGCTGGGCTCCATCCTGGAGATGCAGGCACTCGGCGTGTTTGCGAGGATGTCGTGTGCCTCGGCGCAGGAGCGCGCGAGCTCCGTTGCGCTGCCGTACTTCCTGTCTGTCTTCGCCGGCCTTGACCCGCTGTGGATGGTGGCGGGCAACGCGCTGGTGGCCGCGGCGTTCGGGGGCATGCACTACGGCCTGACGGTCGCATTCCAGCGGTGGCGCGGTGTGGACGCGACGAGTGCGTGGGCGGCGATGCGCTTCCCGAGCCTGACGTACCTCGTGGTGCACGCAATGCACCTCGGCATCTTCTTCGGCTCGGTGTTCATGCTGGCGATGCCCGGCGCTCGCGTGCAGCACTACGCGATCGGGGTCGCTGGCGTGTTGTACGGTGTGGCGTTTCCGGCCGGCGCGTGCGTTTTTATTGCCCACCACACTGGCGCGAGCTTCACCAAGTACTGGCAGTTTTCGAAGAAGCCGCTGCAGGAGCGCCTGCCGTACCCCGTCGGCTACTGGTACCCCGCGGCGCAGCGGCAGATGTACGGCAGCATGCTCACGAACATGAAGGGTAGCTACGTGTACTGGTGCGTGTTCCAGCTCTCGGTGCTGTGCCTGGTGGGCCTGATTGCGGCGATGCACCCGCCTGTGGGCAGCTGCCACATCCTTTACTTCTGCATGGCGGCGGTGCTGCTTGCGGGCGCGGGCGTGGTGGCCTTCGCGAACATGATGCGCTCGGCCCTTCTGACGATTATGCACACTGCGAGCTTCGTGCTCCTGGCGGTGCTGTGCCTGATCAACGCGGCAAACTACCTCGTGCCGAACGACGACGGGGCGAGGGCGTACGCGGCGATCGTGCTGCTGCTGATTTTTGTGCTGCTTGCGATCACGGTGTACAGCGCGGTTGTGTGGTACGTGGAGGAGCACCACTGGCGGCACCTGCGCGAGCCGCAGCGTGGGGCGCTGGAAGCGATGCTCAACGATGACGAGGGGAGCGACAGCGACGCGCAAAGGCCCTACGACAAGGCGTCATCGTCGTACCGTGTGCCCGCACAGCTGCGGCAGGAACGCGTCGCTGGCAACTACGAGAACGCCCCGCCTGTCGTTGGGCGTCCGTCGCGGCCACCGCACGGTGACGCCCACCGAGACGTACTGAGCCTGCTGGACAGCGTGTCGGGTGCCAGCGGCCGCGTTGATCACGGGCTCCTGTGAGAGAATATCGCAGAGGCACGGTACAGCAGCTGCGTGATTACAAACCGGACGCCTATGAGTCAGTGAGGCCGCACAATTGATGTGGACCATTTTGTCCCCCGTGTCTGACGGCTGCCGCTGTTTGTTCTGCGACGCCGACCGACGTGGGCGAGAACCGCCGCCTTGACGACTGGGGGGCGTGGCGCGGCCAGGTGGATGGTGTTGTTGGAGCTGCATCTTCTTTTTTTCTCTCTTTTTTTTGGAATTCAGGGATGTGCGAAGGCGCGTTCACGAGATTTGTATTGGAAGAAAGTTTGTAATCAAAGAGAAAGTGTCATGGGTTGTTCTAATTCGCTGGAGCAAACAATGAGGCAAGCGGATGCTGACAATGAGTGCGAGTCTATTTTGAGTCTTTTTCCCCGCCCCGTGGAGTACGCCGCGATTCAGATTGCGTCGCCCGAGCAGGTTCTTAGGCTGGTGCCGCCGGAGATGCTG